TGCCCAGGTGGGTCTTGAACCCACGGACTCAGGCAATTCACTCACCTCGGCCTCCCAAAGCGTGGGATTATAGGCTGAGCCACCGAGCCTGGCCTTCACTTATTTTTTAAATCACAAAAATTGTGGTGAACGGAGACAGATTCAGCCATCAAAAACAGAAGGAAATCCTGTCGTTTCTCACTGCGTGGCTGGGCATGGAGGACATCGTGCCACGGCGAAGGAGCCAGGCTCAGAAGGATGAGTCCCATGTGGTCTCATGTGTCCATGGAGTCCGAACAAGCTGGACTCGTGGACGCTGAGGCGGGCTGGCATTGCAGAGGCTGAGGTTGGGGTGGCGGGGCTGGAGGGAACAGAGCGATGCAGATCAGAGGTTGCAGAGTTTCAGAGGGACGGGGGAATCGGTTTTGGGGTCCGCCGCACGGCGAGGTGGCATCGCCCTGTGATAGCGTCTTGTGGACCGTCACGTGCTGCATGACGATGGTTCCGTCAAGCGTGCACTGCAGTATGTGAGGAGGGTCCCTTAAGATCGTAATATTGGCCAGGCGTGGTGGCTCAGCCTGTCATCCCAGCACTTTGGGAGGCCGAGGCGAGAGGATTGCCTGAGCCCGCGGGTTCGAGACCAGCCCAGACAACTTGGCAAGACCTCGTCGCTGCAATAAATCACACATACAAACTAGCCAGGCGTGATGGTGTGCGTCTATAGTTCCAGCTACTTGAAAGGCTGGGGTGGAAGGATCGCCGGAGCCCAGCAGGTCGAGGTTGCGGTGGCCGTGAGCCTGCCACCACACTCCAGCCTGGGCAACAAAGAGTGAGACTCCAACTCAAAAACCAAAAAAAAGATGATACAAGTATCTTTTTACCGTCCCCTTTCTGTCTCTAGATACACAAGCACTTCCCACTTGCTACAGCTGCCTACTGTATCACTGCAGTCACGCGTGCTGCTCAGTTGTGTAGCCTGGGAGTAGTAGGCTAGACTGTCCAGGTGTGTGTGAGTCGCCCTGTGATGTTCCCACAGTGACGAGATCACCTAACAACACATTTCTCAGAACGGGTCTCCGTCATTAAACGACACGTGACGTTTAACCAAAGGAGTACATTTCAAATATCTCACAAACCAAAAGCATCAATGTCACCTGTCTCACAAAAGGTCATAGGTAGGTGAGGTGGCAGATGCGTTAATTAACTTGATTGAATCACCCCACAAGGTCTGCACGGATCAAAACACAGCCCCCTCCTCCCTCCATACATGTATATAGTTGCGATCTGTCAATTAAAATGATATTAATGAAGATTGAGGTGAAATATACACAACAACCAGGCGCAGTGGCTCATGCCTATAATTCCAGCACTTTGGGAGGCCGAGATGAGAGGATTGCCTGAGCTCACAGGTTCAAGACCAGCCTGAGCAACTCAGCGAGACCTCATCTCTACAATTAAAAAAAAAACTAGCCAGGCGTGGTAGCACATGCCTATAGTCCCGGCTACTTGGAAGACTGAGGTGGAAGGATCACCGGAGCCCAGCAGGTCGAGGCTGCGGTGGCTGTGAGCGTGCCACTGCACTCCAGCCTGGGCAACGTTGTGAGACTCCAACTCAAAAAAAAAAAAAAAAAAAGAAATACAACGTACAACTCCGAGGTGTGTGTTTTCACGCTGCCTGACGACAACAGTGCCAGACTGCTGGTGCGCAGGTTGTGGAGATGGGGGCTCTGGCACCAGCCCTCAGCCCTCAGGATGCTCCCGGTCTGACTTCTTTGGCTTCCCCTGCAGGTGATCCCCAAGGACTACAAGACCATGACGGCGCTGGCCAAAGCCATCTCCAAGAACGTGCTCTTCGCGCACCTGGATGACAACGAGAGGAGGTAGGTGCCGCAGGGTGCTGCCCGGCCCCGTGGGAAGCTTTGCCATGTCCCCGAGTCACGGCTGTGAATCACGGTGGCGCGAGGCTCCGGGAGAGGCCTGTCACGGCTTTCTGGAAACGTGGGCTCACAGGCAGGGGCGGCTTCCAGAAATAGGGCGCTGCATGTGCCTCACCCCCACCAGAGCATTCCTTGCGTGGTGGGAGCCAGGCTGCCCTTTTTAGGCGCTTGGCCTGGACCCACAGGTCGCCTGCACGAAGCCCAGAAAGGCGAGGGTGGTCTGGTCACTGCAGGCGTGCTGCTCCAGCACCTTCCTCATGCTAGGACTTGCCTCACCTTCATGAAGCCCTGCCTGGTGGGGGAGATGGGGCCCAGACGCCCACTTCCCACGGCTCCTCCTGTCCCGGAAGCTCGGGGCCAAGAGAGGGTGCTCGGGTCAGGAGGTGACAGCCACTGAGGTCTGGAGGGTCTCAGTGAATGACGGGAGGAGGCTGAGGCCACTCCGGGGAGGGGGCCTGTGCGTTGTGAAGGGGCTTGGATGCCACGTGTGGGCGTGTCGATCCTGTAAGTAATTGGAAATACTAGAAAATATCGATAAGACAAAAAGTAAAAGCGTCCTAGTCTAACTCCTAAGATAACCCTTGGGGATATTTTGGGGGCAGTCCTGGAGGGTTTACCCTGTGCACGTATCCCAACTCACTGTTTCACAGAATGGAGCCTCAGCCACGCACCGCTTGGTCATACAAGGTTGTCCTGGGCCGCCTCCTCTGTCAGCAGAGATCATGCAGGGCTTGTAGTGTCCATTTCTGTGGGTGACTGTGATTTAGCTGCTTTCCCGCTGAGACGATTCGAATTTTTATATTACAGACAACGTTTTGGTGGCTCTCCTTGCCCATTCATCTTTGAGTACGTGTCCCTTTCTTTCTTTCTTTCTTTTTTTGTTTGAGCTGGAGTCTCACTCTGTCGCCCAGGCTGGAGGGCAGTGGCCGCTCCCAGCCACCGCAGCCTCGACCTGCTGGGCTCCGGCGATCCTTCCGCCTCAGTCTTCCAAGGAGTTGGAACTACAGGCGCGCGCTACCACGCCTGGCTAATTTTTTTGATTTGCTGTAGAGATGAGGTCTCGCCAAGTTGCCCAGGTGGGTCTCGAACCTGCGGGCTCAGGCAATTCACTCACCTTGGCCTCCCAAAGCGCAAGATTACAGGCTGAGCCACTGAACCCGGCCATTTCTTTCTTTAAGATAAATTCCTCAATGTGGCTCAAAGGGTATGTAACGTCTAAAAATTCCCTTTCTTAAAATTTTTTTTTGGCAAATTAAAATTCTTCTGCGACGAACTGAGCACATTTTGATACCAGTCCTGTAATGGAGTCCAAAGACCCCCTAGTTTATACTTAAGAAGAAAAAGTCTTTGCTCTGCTCCCGTGGACGAGCGCCCGCGGTGGTGGTGGTGTGGGCCACGCCTTCCCCCGTCTGTGTTTGCAGTCTGTCTGCTCACAGCCCAGGTGGGGCTCTTCTGCACGTGTCCGTGCTTACACACTCCTCACTCCGTGGTATGCTGCTTCCCATTGCAGGCTTAAGGAGTCCTTCCACGACGTGGAAACCTAATTTTTGTTAGTGTCTGCACAGTGCTCCATTGTAAGAATGAATCAGGTTTATTAATCTCTCCCTTTGCCAAGGTCATGTGGGAGGTTTCTAATTTCTCCATGTTACAATGTTCCCACGAGTAGTAAAGGGTGTTTGTGCAGGAGAGAGTCCCAGCAGTGGGTTGCTGGGTGAAGAGATGGCACTGCTAAGGTCGGGATAGGTGTTGGGTGCGTGTTTTTCACAGCCTTTGATAGGCTGCTTGGACTCTCACTTGGAAAGGCTGGCAGGGGCCTTGCAAGGGAGCTGCGTCCAGGGCCCTGGGCTCCCCACCATTTATGTCAGTTTTGAAAACCTCTGCTTCACTCAGAGCGAGGGGTCACTTCAGGCTGGACTCACTGGGTCCAGGTTGCCCAGCGATCCCTGAGCAGGAGTAGCTGCTGCTTCCGGCGGTGGAGCAGCAGTTGGAATAGCTGGATGTGGCTGGAGTCGCTGAATGCAGCTGGAGTAGCTGGGCGTGGCTGGAGTAGCTGGAGGGTCTGGAGTAGCTAAGCACTGCTGGGAGAGCGCGTGTCTGAGCAGTCCTTGCTGCATTGGCAACTGCCAGGACCCAAGGCAGAGGTAGCCTGTGAGTTGCTTGCCTGTGGGAGGCACACAGGAAGAGACCCAGGGGTGCGGCGGCCAGGGAAGCCCTATGCTCTGTCTGGGTCACCCTGCAGCCCACACTCTCTGGTTCTCTCTTGCACGCTCCAAGGAACCCGTGTGTGGTTGATGCTCATGATGTTTCTCATTGTGGGACCTGAATTCTCAACTGGTGTGATTTTCCCTACACCCTCAAGATACTGGGTATTATTATTTTATTTTACATTCAGAGGAAATGGTGCGATTCCTTTGCTTACTGCCAGAGCCACACTCAGCTACTCCCGCCACATCCACAGTATTTGCCGCTGACCGGTCCCCTCGAGACTCTCGGAGCAAGGCAGGGGCCTGAACCACTCTGCTCATGCGGAAGGACTTGGGGTCTGGACTGAAATACGCTATTCAGCCAGGCCTGCCCCCAGTGGGAAGCCAGTGGTGAGCTCCCAGCTGGGAGGTATCCAGGCCCCGGGGAGGGGGGTAGATGGTGTCCTCCAAGACACCCGCGGCCTAGCGTCCAGGACTGGGATGTGCTGCCTTGTGTGGTCCAGAAAGACTCTGGGGACGTGATGGGGGATCTCAAGGTGGGCCCGATGGGGAATCACAAGCACCTTCTGAGGGAAGGCAGAGGAGATTTGACACAGAAAAGGAGCCAGCTGGTGCGGCCACAGGCCAAGGAAGGCTGCGGCCGCCGGAGCCAGAAGAGGCCGGGAGATCCGCCCCAGAGCCTCCGAGGGAGCACGGCCCTGCGGCACCTGGACCTTCACCTGCACATGCGCTTTCTAGAACCGTCCAGAGATTACCTTCTATTGTTCTAAGCTCTGCTGTACTTGGCCGGGGCAGTCCTGGGATACACAAGCAGCGGTGTCCACGTGGCAGTGATGTCCTTGGTCACCAGGAAGAACCAGATGACTGGAGAGTTGCATCTGTTTTAACTAGAATTTAAACATCAATTTACAGTGTAATTTACATTTAGTTTGTATTTTTTATTCTATCTGCCTTTTTGAGTTGGGGTCTCACTCTGTCTCCCAGGCTGGGGTGCAGTGGTGTGATCATGGCTCACAGTAGCCTCGATCTCCTGGACTCAGGTGATCCTTCCGCCTCAGCCTCCCGAGTAGCTGGGGTTCCAGGCGTGGGCCACCATGCCTGGCTAATGCTTTTATTTATTTATTTTTGTTCAGATGAGGTCTCTCTGTGTGGCCTGAGCTGGTCTTGAACTCTTGGGCTCAAGCAATCCTCTCGCCTTGGCCTCCCAAGCTGCTGGGATGCGTGGCCTTAAATTTAGTTTTCGAATGGATGGTACGTTCATACGGCTAAACATTCAGGAGGCACGAAGGGGTCCAGGCTGAGAGAACCATCTGATTTTCGCCCAAGGACCCCGGCTCGTCCCGAGCTGGGCCTCCCTGGAGCCTCTGCCTCTCCATCTCCCAGACAGACCCTCCCTGCCCTTGGGCTGGAGGCTCCTGCTCCAGGCTCCTGGCCACAGAGACCAGCCCTTAATTCCTCCAGCGCTGCTTCAGTCCTCAGGGACGGCCTGAGCCAGCCGGGCCCTTTTGCACCCACTCGAAGGGGGTGCTGGTGCTTCCGCCTGTTGCCAGGAGACGGGCCCCAAACCCACGACACCCTTCAACCGTGGGAGGGAGCTCCTGGCGGGATGGTTGGGGCTGGGGCAGGAGCAGCCACCCCGAAAGTTGGTGACTTTGCTTGCAAGGTGTCTGTCTGTGTTTCCTCGTCTGTCCCGGCGGATGGCTGGTCTGCTCTGAGCTCTCGCAGAACTGGGCCGCAGGATGGGGACTCTTCTGTGGATGGGCACGTTCTTTTTATTCATAACAGCGGTGATGGTGATAACCCGGCGTCAGCTTCTCTTTCTGGCTCAAACGCTCCCATCCCCTAACACACACACACACACACACACACGGGAATGCACGGTGCACTGAATTCACACTCGGTTCCTCAGAATCCGAGACGACAGATACTTACAGAGCAGCTGCTGGGTCCGTGTCATACAGTGGAGGGAAAACACCCCCGGCAACTTTCTAATGAGGAGGCAGCAGCAGTCTGCATAAGCGTTTAGAGCTTGTGCGCTGGGAAGGACATCGAGAGAAGCCCGTGTATCATAAAATGGGCTGACTTCACCCAGGGTGGGCAGAAAGGTGATGTTTGGGTGAAACCAAAGGTAGCGGGCCACTGGGGCCATTCCCGGCACGGGCCCGGTTGGAGCAAAGGTCCTGGGTAGGCGTGAGCTGGTGAACACCTGATGGGGACAATGCCATTTATTTCAGCAGGGGCTGAGGTTACAGGGACAAGGCGTTGCTAGGAGCATGCTGGGAAATCAGACGTCTCAGAAATGCTCTGGGGTTCAAGTACGTGCCTTGGCATTCCAAGCCTCCTTGGAGCCCACACCTCTCTGCTGGACTTGGTCCCCTGGAAGGAGCTGCCGTCAGAGGCAAACACTTGGGAGCTGGTGGTGTCCTGAGGTTTTCTCTCCAGAGGCAGTGCTGGCACTTAGACCTAGACTCGAGCCCATCAAGGGTCTGCTCCGGCTACCGACAGCCACACCCTCCTCAGATTCTGCATTCGGAGGTGCTCAGCCAAAGTGGGCAGGGAGACTCGAAGTTGGGGTCCAGAGTCCTTTAGCCCCAGACCTGAGAAAGGAGGTGGGTGGTCGCTTTAGTAACTGGCCCAGAGGCGGGACAGCTCATTCAGTGTGGATGTCTGTGTCTGCGTCTCCTAGCGATGCGGTGAGCCTGGTCATCGCGGGCATGGCGCCAGGAAGCCTTTGGGTGG